CAACACTTGCTTTTAAAAAAATCAATCATTGGCTTCAAATCTTGATCTTTCTCCTGCTCTGCTTTAATATCGATACCTGGTTCCACTTCATCATCATCAACTTCTTCAGTCACTATGACTTCACCTTGATGGCACCTAATTAGTTCAACCTCTCTTTTAACAGTTACCGGAACTTGGCCTTTGTTATTCCCAAACGTCATTTTATCAAAATCAATTACAAACTTCCTTGGTAGTAAATAGTCCAATCCTAATACGCATTTGTCTTCAATGTCAGCCAAGTATACTTTATATCTGTCCTTTATGCCCATGAGCTCAATAGTTACCCACATTGGTCCCCACAATCTTGTAGAATGTCCTGTCACACCATAAAGCTTCTGTATGGCTTCTGATACTCTTTCATGATCTAATACCTTGATGGTCACAAGGGTTTGCTGAGATGCGGAATCTATGACAAAGTTGCACCTTTGGCCCTCCAGCTTTCCTGTCACATAGACACTGTGTGTGCTTGGCATTTTACACCTTGCTGTAGGAACTTTCATGATGGGGGTTGGTATGAGTGTCCCTCAACACCAACCACTACTAGTCTCCTACCACTACAAGATTGAAAGCACCCAGAACATAACATGCCATTAAACAAATTCAATGTGTATGAGCCCAATAAAGAAGATTTATGGTGCAAAAACACAGGGATCTGGATCTTGTGCCACCTTAGAGATTGATATAAGCCACCACTGTCAAAAGAAAGAAAGTGATCCAAAGCCCAACAAACAGCCAGGAGTTCAAGAACATTGATGTGAAGAGAACTCTCCTCCACAGACCAATGACCCAAAACCTCCTGGTGATTCACCCAGGCACCCCAACCCTGAAAGGATGCATCTGTCAACAGATGTAAATCTGACCCCAGAGGAGGAAATGGTACCCCTGCCAACATGTGTACTCTGTTCAACCACCAATGGAGATTGTCTACAAGAAATGAGGGAAGGAATATAAAAGTATCCACGGGATCCCAGGCAAGGTTCCATTGATTGTGAAGGACTTATTGAAGAAATCACATGTGGGTCATGGAGGACCACATCTCCAAAAGCAATAGAACCTGTAAGTGAGGGAACAGACAGGGCTTTCCAATTGGCCCATTCCAAAGAATGGGGCAAAAGAGGAGAAAGTTGGGCCCGACTGAGATGGATGTTGAAGAAAACACCCAAATGGATAAGGTATTGGGTAAGATGAAGGAAAGACTTCTCCAATTTGACCAACCAGCCCACCAATGCAGCTTCAGCCAGGAAGTGTGACAGGCCAATTACTGTTCAGAATGAGCAAAAAGAAGCCATTCGTTCATATAAAAATGGAAGTGCAGCCCAACGGCATGAATATGCCAAGCAAAGGAGCATATCACACAACAAAACAAGCATGGTGCTGAGGCTAGGCCAAAAGGTAAGACGGCAAACTGGTACACAACCCCCTGATTTACAAACTGAAGATATGGACATGAATACTCTGCCTCAGGAATGTGCAGTTAAGCATTGGAAACATCCACTTGATCAACTAAAGACCTGGAGAAAATACCCACCAAAGAGAAATGTATGTCTCCATGGTAAAGCAAGGAGTTTGAACATATGGATTGAGATGGGATAAATCGATGACAGGATGCCAGTCTCTGGTCTTCTTGGGAACCACTAACAGGTTGGAGTAAAACTCCCATGAACCTGGTGGAGCTGGTTCGATAGCCTCTTGTGTGATGAGATCCTGAACTGCCTTTGACAGACACTGGAGTGTCGAGGGATCCCAAAGAGAAAGGAAGACAACAGGGAGGAAGAGAGAGAAAGAGGGTAATGTATACCTCTGAGAGCACTCTGTGAACCCAAACATCGGCAAGAAAAGATTCCCACCGATGAACGAAATTCAAGAGACAAGCCCCCACAGGGCCCAAACTGACAAACATCTGTTGGTAGATGTGTTGTCAAGTGAAAGGTAGTGTGGGACAGGAAAAGGATGGAAAGGGGAGAGGAACCAGTGCCACACTTGGCCCCTGATTGTGACAAAGGATGTTGATTGGCCAAGGCCACCCATGGCTCCAAAGTGTCAGGAACCAAATCAAACACATAACGCTGCCTGGAGATAAGTCTATGCCAAACCTCATCATGACCCAAGAGGTCCTAACAACAAACAAACCACGTTGAGAGCTGAAGATGACAGATGAGCCAATGTAGAAGTAAGGATGTAGAGAATTTCAGCAGAAAACTCCCCAGGGTTCCAGTGAAGAGCCTCTGATAGAAGGTGAAGGGAGGAAAAATACCTTAACAGGATCGTGAGGGTGAGATGAAGGTTGCCCCCAAACCAGTACAACCAACCCCAACAACTGTTGGTCAAGAAAGGGAAAGTCTACCCAATGAAAAGCAAGAGCAGACTGATCTGACGCCCATGGAGACAAGGCATATTGAGAAGCAAATCGGTCCGCATTAACCCTAATATTGGGGGATGGGGGAAAGACTAAATAGGGTCGGGAAGTTGTTTCATGTAAGAGGGAAGGTCTAGGGCCATAAGAAACAAGTGTAAGAGACAAAACATCACATACCTGAGAGATAAAGTCTGAAGACAGACGAGCTAAATCATAAGGTAGTGAACAGGAATGTGTGGGAAACGATCAAAATCATCGTCAGACTGGCCTGACTGAAAAGGCTCAGGAGGAGATGGGGCAGAAGTAGGCAAGAGAGGTTGGCGAATGAGCAATGATATATTCCCCAACAGGTCACCCATGGCTGAAAATACGGCATCAGACACTGGTGAAGTACCAGAAGTGATGACTGTAACTTTGGAATTCACATGCGGGAAAAAACGGCAAACATGAGGAAGTAATGCTTTAATAAAAATATTAACTTCACAACTGTGAAGTGTGGTAAAATTATGAAAAATGAAAAAATAAACCACTTCAATGTAACTGAACAATGTAAGAAAGAACGTCTGAACTCGACAGCTGCCAAACGAGAAATGATAGTTCAGTAGTGGCACGTGGAGGAAGTCACATGATAGTAGTGCTATCCTATTGGTGGAGAGGTGGCGCATGATGATTCACATGAGAGACATGTTAGAACTTTGGATTCCAACAAAGGGATGATGAAGGCTTGTGGCATGTGTTTCTGAAAAAGTTTCCATACAGAGGGCAGCATCAGCACCAAACGAGAAAAACTAATCTTTTGAGCGGAGGGAGAGTACCTTATCAGAATTTTGATTCCAAGGATAGAAATGCTGCATGACTTAGTTTTGGCTCATGAAAGTTATGCCATGCAACAGGCTGAAGTAAAATTCCATGTTTCAGAAGAAGCAGTATGAAAACTCTGAAGAAGTTATATGAAACTAGTACTAATGTTAATAGAAGCAGTTGAGATACAAAAACCCAAATTTTACAAAAATGATGTCAAGTAGCTCATTTAGGGTATACTCTTTATATAATATATCACAATTTAGCACAGATCTCATGAATGACCAAGCTGTAAGTACAAGTGTGAACATTACCTTCAGAACAGTAAGATGTACATTAGCATGAAGTGGTCTCGACAGATGTGCAACTGCTTAAAAACCACCATTTAGAACAGATAAACCCAACCAGAAGGCTGAAATTGGAATCAAACTTAAAATAATGGGATGAGTAAAACTGGATGAAGATGCTCTATACAAATTCAATTCATTTAACAACTATCAATGATCGTTCATCTGGTGGCAGAAAAGAAAATGGTATGACAGTGAATGTACAGTAAACCATGCTGGGTACCAACATAACTATAGACTGCATCTCATCCAGTGGAGTTCGAAGTGTACATAAAATTGATGTCACCTTAACTGCTGACAGGTTCAAGTAAGTTCTTATAAATCATGTCATTCCATAAATAACAAAACCTGATAAGTATGGATTCATACTGCAACAAAACTGTACTCCATGGCTTGGCCTGCACAAAATCCCAATATGAATATTATGAAGGCTGTAAAGCATTATGTATCCTACAATCATGTTCAGTACATAAGAACTGTAAATGATGGATGTGCCCATTTGGTCAATATAAAAAGGAGCATACTCTGAAGGTAAATCAATATTCGATATTTTTGTACAATTAATTTATGATTTTGCCTACATTACTAATTAACTTGTAGATCATTTTGCTGATTTTTACTAAGTTGCCAAAAAAAACCACTGTCTGAGAAGGATTGGAATCTACCCTGGAATATTACTTAGATTACTTAAAGTCCTAGATGCCTAGTGAGATTGGCTGTATAGTCCTATTTGGGACAAGCATACTCAGTTGCAGTTTGAGCAGGCAGAGGTTGTTGTTCGGCATGGAGGCTGTGCTGAATTCTCTCTGATGGTCCTTTTTTTTTTTGCTTGCTGAGCTCTTTTCTTTTAATTTTTTCATACCTTCCTTTGCACAGCTTTTCCAAGCACTGCAATTTTTCTGCTACTTCTTCCCAGTTGTCAACACAAATTTCAAAAGATTTCATATCCATTTTGCAAGCATCCTTGTAGTGTAGATGGGGACTTCCAACTGTTCTTTTTCTTATCTCAGCTCACTATACAAGATGTTTTTGGTGATTTTTTCTTCTTTAATGTGCCTAGTGTGTCCAAGCCATCTCAATCTTCTTTGATTCAATAATGAGAAGATGTCATGCAATGCTGGAGTTTCCTTTCCAGGATGTTAAATCCTGAGCAGTGATATGGAAATCCTGGGTTGCTCAAGCATCAAAATCACCCTCTTGACCTTGCTGGCTGAATCCAAAGGAAAGAAAGGACAATCTAGAGTAAATGTGTCAGTTGTCTCATATGTTGCACACACTCATACATAATCTATAAGTCTAAGAACAAGGATTCTACTCAGAACTCTATTTTCAAATTTGACAAAGTGTGTGAGACATTACTGTAACATCTTTCAAATCTGTAGAGAAGATTTGATCTAAACAGAATTAGGGTAATTTTTTTTTGCCTCAATGTAAAGTGATTTGAAGGACAGCCTATCCTTTCTCAAGATTGTCTAAGTAGAGTATTGCTCTCATCTAAGTTAAGAGATGGCCCTATTATCACAGGATCTAGAAAAATAAATCTCGAAAAGGAATCTCAGTCCAGCTGAGTAAGAGTTAGCAAGTAATGGCAGCAACACTGCTGTTGTATATAACTTAATGCCAAAGAAACCTCCATGAATTAAGTCAAGAAATATTATGGGCCCTAGTCCTGGGCAAACAGGGGTACTAAGAATTTCCTGGCAAAATTTACTATCCCAGCATATACAGAAAGTTACAGACTTGTTTGTGTTAAATAACCTAACTCAGCCAGTGTTAGTTTTTAAAGTGAGGTGGAGGCCTGTATAGTTTGGAACAGAATTTATATTTTGTCTATTAGTACAAGTTTATGCATGTTGCTTTCTAACCTAGCTAAATCTTAACATGCATGTATGTGTTATGTCCAAAACTAATAAAACAATCAGGAATTACAGGCCACATCCAATAGGGTAGTGCTTTTTTTTCACTTGTATATGTATATGAGAATGTCCTGTGCTACATGTACAATTAATTTAGAAATTTTATTTTGTAGTAAAAATATATTATTGGAAATTATTATGGAAACAGTGAATAAAATGGGCATATTAACATCATTATTCTTATTGTCACTTGTCTTATGGAGTTTCGAGGCCTAGAACCATGCTAATATTAACAGAAATGAAACAACATATAGGGTTTAGAAATACTGATCAAGACTTGAAAGCTTGGGATATAAGTTACACAGACAATGAGTATTTTATATGATTTTAAAGCCTCAACACATCATTACAGTCCATGCCACCACATTCAGTCATGCTCCATATGAAAACTATGCATGTTGACAATAGCCCTACAATGTAGTTTCCATTGTAAAATGTTCCATCATACAGCTATGTCTATAATTCCCAACTCCTCACTGCTGGCTTTCCATAACCCATCTAGTGTACAAGGACAATGGTTTTCAGTACCGATTTCAACAGCTGGATCACAGAGAAATTCATAGTCACTGTATGGAATAGCATGATTACCTGTTTTATTCTCCAGCTGCTTGAAATTCAATTCATGCAATTCATCAGATATGTTATGCAAGCAGCTTGTGTACACGACTTGAGTCACTTTTCCAGGTGGAGATCTTTCTTATTATAATGTGTACTGTTGCCGGAGGCATGTAGGTGGCTTTTACTACTGACCTTTATGTTCACGAATTCTCAACTGCTACAAGTTGCCATGCTTTGCTTACAATAGGGCATGACTTGTTGCAGATCTCTTTCTAGATGGAAATGATGTCCAAAGTTGACTCACATTCTTTTATTTTCCAATGCTATTAAGTGCAATGGATATTCCTATCTTAGAAATTGTAAATTCTTGATCTAAACAATCTTTATGATCTGAGCATATAAATATTTTATGAAGAAATGGGCTTTCTACAAACCATTCCCCAAAGCAATCAATTTTTCGAGCCATCACACTACCTACAAAATGCCAAACAATGTACAAATGTAGTTTTGATACATGTCATTCCACCACAAGTTTATATAAGCCATGGATGGCAAATTGACTTGCTAGTTTTCATATTCAAACTTGTATTATATAATATACTTAATCCTCTGTTTAATGCTTTATGTTTAGTACCATTGCTAGAGTCTAGTGATGATGTTGGAAAAACTCCTTGCAGCTACTTAGCAAACCTGAGCACACTAATGTGCTGGATGCACCCACTGCATCGAAATCCAAACATTTTTCCCAACAATGTATTGCAGTCACCCTCCTTTGTTAAAAAAATATGGTTGTAAATGGCCCACTATATAATCATTTTGCATATACACTATGATCAAAAATATTGGGTTGGCTGCATGTTTTTTACTTATTCATCACTATATTTAGGAAATTTACCATGGAATTCTTTCAACGTGCATCTGCCAGTTAGTACATACTTAAGTATATTATTTAATTTTTAGGATTAACTGCTACTGTGTGTAGAACAGAAAACATAATCTGTTTAGATATTTATAAAGATGTTTATGTAATTACATAAAATTCAATGCCATGGATAGTAGTTAGACATGGTTCAAAGGGCAATAAAACAATAATATTTAATTATAAATAGATGCATATTGTTATGAACTTAGAGCTACTTAGGATAAACAAATGTAGTGTCATGTTACAATTATAGTCATTCTAGAAAGAAAAAAGGGTAATTTAGGTTTATTTCAATTGTTTTTTTGGTGGTTACGAGGTCGACTGAATTGACTGAGCATGTGTTGAGAGAGTTAACCCACAACATCAGGTTAGCATCAGGTAAAAGTTAGATTCAAAAGGGCAGATGAATTCTGGACAGGCTGCTAATATATATTCTGCATATGATGCACTGTGTTGTGCTGATGTGCTGTGTTTGAAATTACCATGTTAACCAATAACTAATAACACATGAAAATGTAAAAATGGCACCCAGAAGTTTATGAACAAACTCTATTCAACACTTAAACTGTTTTGTTAAATATACAGTGAAAATAAAAACTTAGAATTAATGCAATGGTAAAGCTATGTGCTATACATTATTTTTAATTTTATAGTTTGTTTTCTTAATTCTGAACTGATTTGTAACAAATGGTCCAGTTAAATTGTTTGATAATGAAGACACAAGAAACAGGGAAGAATACTTTGAGAAATTTAAAGCAACTATTTAGCAGATGAGTTGCAGTCACAGCAGCAAATATCAGCTTAGTCTGAATAGATTAACCAACTGAACAAAAAGGTTTTATATGATTCTCACAGTTAAAACCTAGCAATGAAATGCTTTTCTAATTAAGTTTCCTTTAAAGAACTAAGTTGTGAGTAAAACATAGAGCAACTTCAATAAGAAGTTTAACTGCTTTCAGTAAATATTATTACTCCTCATACATTTTAGCCATAATTTAAAACACAACACAGTTATTAATATTTAAGTATAGCCTTGTTTGGGGTTTTAACTACTATATCATCACTTGCAACATTAACAAAAAGACTTACCTATGGCTGGAGACAATAAAAGAATATATTTTCATTTGGCTAGTTTGTTTGTTTTATACTTGACATACCAATATTTTGATTTACTTCTCTTTACTGCCACCACCCACATTTTCACACATACCACTTAATAGTTGCTGAACAAACATACCTACTATAAAAGTGATGTTTAGCATTAAAACAAAACCCGAGGAAGATTTTAAAAATAACAAAGCACAATATAAAACAAAGAATTGATATAAAATTCATTCAACAAATATACACTGAATTAGAGAAAAAATAAAAATAAAATAACTCTATACTTTTTGGCCATCAACTTCTTTAAAAGAAGAACTTCAAAGGACTTTCAAGAAATATTACTTGTATTTTTCTATAATGTAAGGTTCAATTATAATATTTTAGAAATTTAACTGACTGCACTAATCAGCTAAATAACAACACTAATCTTGCTAAGTATTATATTCATAAAAAAAGTTTCTGAAATACTACAGTCAAGCAACTTATCACTAAGACTTTTCTTACTGTATGTATTTCTTCTGATTGAAGTAATTATATATAACTTTCAGATAATAATCAACTTAATGTAATAATCAATATAACCATTATTAACACACTCAAATCTTACCTTGGATTTCTACTTCTACATCTTTAGGGAAACATTCTGAGATACCATACTTTAGCTTGAGAGCTACAGTACCATACAGATCCTCAGGAATGTCAATCATTGGAGAAAATTCCAAGAAGTCATAAGACATGGAGGCATGAACAGGCCACCTAAGAAACTCCCCAACATTTTCCTACAAAATAACAAATATTCACACACTTTTTTTTCATGCAACATAAGCAAGAACTTAAAGCTCTTGGAATGGAACAAGAGTTTTAAAGAATTTTAAATGCTTTAAGAGAAAATGAACAAGAAACAAAAATATACTTCACAAAAATTTATTTCTTCACCAAAGTTTTACAGTTGCATGTAATACTAAAAAGTTGTTGAAGAATTCTGAACATCTTGATTCAAAGTATAAAACTCATAAGCTCGTTGCATCATCTACTAAAAAGACACGAATCATTTAATGACTTAAAACATAAATTAATCCATATTTTTACATAAGAGTCTCAAGAAAAAAGTGACATTCATAATAGACCTTAAACATAAATTCACGAAAGTAAATGAATGTGATATTTATATTGTTATGCAAAAATATCAAAAACAAAATTTATCTTACATATTAACAAAAAGTCAGAGATAGCTTATCCCCGTATTAAAAATTGTTACAAAAATTGGAAATATCATAACATTCTACCCTTCTATAACTAGTAAAAAGTCAAAATATATCTTAATTTAGATGTACATTATAAATATTTCTAATTTCTCATGCAGGTGTTCTGCATCATGGCATTCTTGTAAACAGGATGTGCAAAGAGCATATATTTCACTAATCCTATATTATAATGAGTGTTCTATAAGATTTATACTTGCTTGACCCTATTTTCTGTGTCATGACCTCCTGGAGTGAGGTTATACTCATTTCATTCCAAAGGTGGCACAGACTTGATAAAATTAGTATGAGCTGAGAATTTATTTCCTTATAGTATGTATAATGGGTATAATCATCAAACTTGGTAATCTAAGGATTATGGGATTCACACTGAAACCTTGATATGATTTGACAGTGTGGTATCATCATTATTTATGATCTAGTGTATGTCCTTTCCTGAGTTTTTGCTTTCAACTTAACCTCCTTCCCAAACAGCAAGTAGTAGCTTTCACAAAGAACACATTAACTGGCCAGTAAGTCAAGATTTAAATTATTTGTTAATAAAAAGTGGTTATTTGTTTTCTTGTGATTGCTTGTTTACTTTTGTTTTCCATGTTTATTTTATTCTTTGTAAGACATTTTTAGTGCCTGCTATATTGAGAATACTTATAACATTCCTTCAAATGCCATAAAGGCAAACATCAAGTCAGAACAAAAGGAGTGAGGAAAAGGAAAACAGGCAACACCTGGGACTCCTAAGGACAGGAAACCTGTTGGAGTAATTAGGACTGGAAAATACAGGTAACCGAAGATTGGTGATGAGTTTCAAAAGTGTAATGAATTCCATCAAAGAGCCTATTACTAAAGGGATAATCAGGATGGAGGTCCCATAAGTAATACCTAGAAAGTAAGACATCCCAATTCAGCAAATCCTGGAGAACAGGTAAGAATGAATGTCCCCAGAAAAGCTGTCAGTGTCATAATGGAGAGCCTCAGAGAGAAGGTGAAGTGTAGACAAATAGCAAAGCAGCTGGGTAGGAGCAAGATGCAAATGAAGAAATTAAGGATTACTGACATCCTCTTACTGGTAGGAAGTGAAAGTCTGATAATGATTACATCATACATTGGTGCAATACATGTGTAGAGATGAGAGCTTCATTCAAAGCTTGTGGCATTTGCAGCAAATCTTTTCAAGATAATAGCTGTTTGTTGTGCATAAAGCTGAGTAGTACTTCTAAATGAATGTTAAGGACGAGGTAGTAATACCACCAACATCATGTGGTATTAATTGGTGTATTAAATATAAAGTCTAGTGAACTGTCAAAATTTGCTGAAGAAATAGAACTGATGTACAAAATATAACATTTTGTCAAGAAAGAAAGATAGACTTGCTTGAACAGTTATATTCCACAGAGCTGGCATTACTGTAGAGCTTGTCCATAATTGTGGATATGGATGTTGGATAATGATGATGCAAGAGTACAATTTTGCTTTACAACATTGTTAAGTCAGGAGAAGGAAATGGCGATAGGTTATTTTATCAACTAGTGAGATTATGGCTTTTTGTTGAATATTCAGATCCTGGAAACCATGCTGTAGTCAAACCTATAACAGCAGCAATGGTAACAAAACTATGTAAGAAGTGACAATTTTGCACTTGGCCAAACCCCATAAATGACTATTAAGGAACTTTGGAAAGTGTAACTGCAGGACCATGGATATAGTTTGGGCACTACTTGCCTTGTACTAAGCTGAAGCATGACCATCACAAACTGGTGAATGTAGAAGTGCCTCATGTAATGTCTGGCTTTTGTATGGTCAGTTAGAAGAGCAAGACAGTGCATTTAACCATCATTATGAACCATAACACTGTGGTAGACAACCTTTGACGCAGTTTCTGGTCCTCACAGCTTTAAATAGGAGATATTTCAAATTTTGCATAGTGCAAGGACTGTATAACACGAAGTCTCACACATTCATGAATGTACAGAAGCAATTTTTTACTCACATTTATGTAGAGATATAGAGCAATAGTGTAGACATTGCACCATAATTCAGTTCTGGCTTGAATGATCTGTATCTGTCTGTTAAAAGCTTAACAAGGTAACTCAGAAATCCTGAAGTCACATGATGAACATTGAACATGATGAAAATCTCATTCAAACACTATATCACTGATGAGCCTCTTAAGAGTTGGTTTCTCTAGGAATGAAAGCATGAACAGCAGTTTCTTTTGGATGATGAGAGCACCATGAGTTATCAACTTGAGAGCTAAACAACATGCTAGTATTGCCATTCAAAAGTCCAAAACACAACTCCATTAGTACAACTGAAATATAATAAATACACACCAAATCCAGTAAAACTGATATTTCTTGGTAATTTCATGACTATAGTTTCATGCAAGACGAATGTTTAGCACTGACCAAAACACAAACTATTCTCTTCAGATATAGTTCTGTCACAGCATATTTGTTAGTGCAAAGTTCAGGTGGTGGCACTATCCCTAATTTTGAGCCACCAACCAAAGACAGGCAACCAGTTGGTTAGCAGCCAACTGCTATCACACACATATATATATATATATATATATACACACACACATAGATAAGTAGAATGTGAAGGTGATAAAATAAAGAAATTAGACTTTTGAAGATAAATCATCTTAAAAAACTATGCTTGTATTTTATTGGCAACGTTTAGAGGAACATTTTGAAAGGAATCAATAAATAAGAACAGAATGTAATGTGAGATAAGAACCTTGAGAATATATATATATAAACACGAAATGTGTGTTTGTTTGCACTCTAGCTCCTCCAAGCCTATTGGGCCAATCTCATCTAAACTTTGTATGTAAGCACTATCAACAATGAGGAATGTCCTATCTAAGGGGGTCAAAATTGAACTAAACCTTATTTCTATTTTGTAAAGCCTGTTGGTCAATTATGCCCAGTTACTGCGTGAATCTCAAACAACCTTGGCAGGTTGATGCTTCAGACAATGTTGAATATTCTGGAAGGATTCAAGGTCAAAGTCACTGGACTGTTTCTCAAACAACCATGCTTTTCTCATGGTCAATGAGATTTAGGGTGTTCAAGGGTGGGATATTTGTTGGTAGATGGAAAGCAAAGTGCAAATGTTGTTTATCAAGAAGCTTTGTTATAGTTTTAAAATTTTGAGATAACATTTATGTTCAAGTTATTACTTTGAAATATATGACTGTTGTTAAACTTGCATTGTTTTAATTAAGTTTAAATATTTCAGCTTGTTAAACAATATAATAGAGCTGAAGAAAACATTTGATGATTAAAAAAATAATAAAAATTATTAAATATTTAAAAAATAAGTTTACAAAGCAAAGAAAGAAATAACTTAAACATTTTTAAGATAATAAATGAAAGTTATTCAACAATTTTTTATAAAAACTGAACCATTCATCCAAAGGTCTTAAACACATTTCTTTTTTGGTTGTGTTTCTTTGATTGGTGTTAGAGATGGGCGTGTTTTAGGGCAAGTACTTTAAAATTCTCAAGAAAATGATCTGCTTTGTTGGAGTGCTGAGCCATAGGTTTATCTTAATCTTTAATCAAGATGTGAAAAGTGTTCTCATTTGTATTCAGTGAACATACAGCTGGTTTCTCCTATGAATATTTGGTTACAGTTGTTACAAATAATACAATAAATTAATCATTTAGATGTAAAGTTCAAAAGGGTATTCACATAATACACTGACTTAGGGCCCCCTAACAGTTATTTTGTGATCAATGTAAGGGCAAGTGTTACATCTGCTCCTCTGGCAAATGTATATTTACCAACTTGAGTATCAGATAATAGTTGTATGTTAATAATGGTTGGAGACAGCTTGAATGGGTAATGAAGGAAAACTTTAATGTAAGTTTAACATAACAGCAAATGTACAATGTTTCAACAAGGTTTTTCTCATCATCAGGTACAAGTAATTTACACTGACACGGATATATATACAGTATTGAACAAAGAAGTCACATGACCGGAACTGTTGCAAAACTTAGAAGAGGTATCTAGGCACCCGTAGATCGTTACTAAATAAAAATTATTTAGAATCACACAATACTAACGTCATTTACAAAATAACATTCAATAACTGCCCAGAATTCTCCATAGGAGAAACAGGAAGAAAATTGGAAACCAGATTGACAGAACACAATAAAAAACCATCCCATGTTTTTCACCAATGCAACTCAAAAAACCATAGTGTATCTATTAAAAACACAGTCATTTTAAACAAAAAACCCAACATACACAAACGAAAAATCAAGGAATCCATCTTAATTGAACAAAACAACCCTACTCAAAACCAACACCTCGGGGTGCCTAGATACCTCTTCTAAGTTTTGCAACAGTTCCAATCATGTGACTTCTTTGTTAAATACTGTATATATATATATATATCCGTTGTCAGTGT